GAAGTCTTATTTACATAATATAAATTAAATTACAATTTCTAAATAAATTTGGAAAAATCAGCGAGAAAAGATGAAGTTGTTTTTAGAAATCATTCGAGTAAGAAAGTATCCCTTTCAATTTAAAATACAACATCGGAAGAATTATTACCTTTAACAGGGGAATTAATAACTTAAAACTTAGTAGAACTTCCTTTTTAAGAAAGATACAACCTCAGACAATTTAAGAGGATAAAATTGAAAAACTACTTAAATTAAGGATGTAACAATTATTGAAGTTTGAAGTATTGGAACGTGTANAAGGATTAGACAGTTTAAACATTTGAATTGATAACAACAAATAAACACTGCAACAGAAAGTGCACGGCATCACCCTTCGTGCTTTTACTCTCGTTCTCACCGTAAGAATCAATATCCACTTTTATTCTTTCTTGTTGCGGCGTGCAACCCGATCCCAATCCTATAGTATTGTTGCGGTATGCAACCCGATCCAAATCATATAGTGATGTTGCGACGTGCAACCCGATCCAAATCATATAATATTGTTGCGGCGTGCAACCCGATCCAGATCATATAATGATGTTGTGGCGTGCAACCCGATCTATATAATATTGTTGCGGCGTGCAACCCGATCCCAATTACAAATCAACACCAATCACGAAAGAATCCCCGTAAAGGAATAATAAGGAAACAACAATATCCCGATAAGGGAGTCAACATCAAGAATAAACACGTCCCGGCAAGGAACCAACAGTAAGAATTAAACATGTCTCGCATGAGAATCGGCTATAACTAAACTTGTACCAACAATTAACTTCATAATAAAATCTCAACTACACAACAAGACATAATAAGCACGTGGTAACTACGCCGGCAACCACAACAATTGGACATGTAACCTATTTGCACGAAGTCATAGAGGAACTCACAATCAAGAAGTATCAAAACAATAAGGAAGTCAATCACTTCAATTAAGGCAATTAAGGGTCAATGTAACACGTAAGAATTAGAGGAAAGCTAACAACATCATATGGAGCATATCGAGACAATTTAAGCAACTAGGAAACCCAATCATAACAGGATACTTTCCACATAAGGATCTAAGAACCCTAGAGGCAAATTTTCCACAAATAAGTCCGAGCACACACTCGACTACAATTAGCATAGAAGACTCAATTCCTAAGGGGAAGTCCCCCACACAAGGTTAGGGAAGATACTTACCTCAAAGATGACAACTCGGTACTCTAAAATGGACTTCTCGGGCGAAAAGACCTCCGGACAGCTCGAATCCAACTATAATAACTCCAAAACACACAAAAATGGAATAAGGGACTATTCTGAATAATAAAGTTTCAATCTTTACAAGAATATAAAAATCGACCCAAAAGTCGACCCCCGGGCCCGCACCTCGGAACTCGTAAAATTTTACAAAATCCGATCACCCATTCCAAAATGATTTCAACCATACAAAATTTATCAAATTCCGATGATATTTGATCCCTCAAATCATGATTTTTCATTTTAGGAATTTTCTTAAAAAAATCAACATTTTACCCAACCCAAATCACAAATTAAATGATAAAAATAAAGACAAATTCATGGAATATAATCAATTCTAGGTGAAGAACACTTACCTAATCGTTTTACTTGAAAAACCCACAAAGAATCGCCCAAAATCGAGCTTTAGAACTCCAAAAATGTTAAAAATGGCCTAACTCTCAATTTGAAAAACTTATATTCTGCCCAGATATTAAAGCATCGCGAACGTGGAGGAAGTATCGCGTTCGCGAAGAAGAAAATGAAGGTTGCCCAGATGTGCTTCGGGAATGCGACAGCACGCACACAAACGCGAAGAAGGAAAATATTATGGCCCAGAGACTGCTCTTCGCGAACGCGTGAAGTAGTACGCGAACGCGAAGAGTGGAATTGCATAACTACGCGAATGCGTGAAAGGGACGCGACCGCGATGAGGGATAAACAGAGCTTCGCGAACACGAAGAAGAATTTTCAAGTGGTCAGCAACAAAGCTTCGCGAAAGGCTGTTCGCAATCGCGAAAGAGGATACCAGAAGTAGAAAACAGCAGTTCAAAAACAAGGGAAAATGACCTGTAGCCCACTTGGAATACACCCGAGGCCCCCGGGACCCCGTCCAAACACACAAACAAGTCATATAACCTAATACGGACTTGCTCGAGGTCTCAAATCACATCAAACAATGCCGGAACATCGAATCACACCAAGAATCAAACTTAGGAACTTTCAAACCTTCTAACTTCCAAAACTCGTGCCAAAACCTAACAATTCAACCCGGAATGACGCCAAAATTTGCAAACAAGCGTAAAATGACATAACAGAGCTGTTCCAACTTTCTGAATCGCATTCTGACCCCGATATCACAAAAGTCAACTATGGGTCAAACTTCTCCATTTTCCAAATTTCAACTTTTCCAGCTTTCGCCGAAACACCTCAAATTACCCTACGGACCTCCAAATCCGAATTCGGACACGCGCCTAAGTTCAAAATCACCATACGAAGCCGTTGAGATCACCCACGACCCATTCCGGGTTCGTTTACTCAAAAGTCCAATTTCGGTCAAAATTTCACTGTTTAAACTTCCAAAACTAGGTTCCTTCTTCCAGTTCAACTCTGATTCATCCGGAAACTGAATCCAACCATGCACACAAGTCGATATACAAAATGTGAAGTTGCTCGAGACCTCAAACTACCAAATCGGGCACAATTTTTTAAAACGACCAATCGGATCGTTACAGTATAATGATATTTTGAGTCCAAAATACCATTATTTAGGTTTCAGACTCTGTATCTATGCCTCCACGGAAATAGATGGCAAGTTAAGATCATTAGTTAGAAAAGGTTTTCGTTCTTTCTTTATTAAACTCGAGTTAGACACTACTATATAAAATGAAAGGAGAGAATATGTTGACTTTCACATTTGAAATTTCTTAGGGAAAGTTGATTAAAAGTCTAACCGAGTGATACATATATTAATTATTAGTACCTACTTATTAAATATCTCCATTTCGAGGTCTTTTACACAAAATTCGTATGATATTTGAGATCAATGCAAGAAATGATCCTAATTTCATGACTGATATATATACCTCTTTGAATATTGCAAAGCAAACACTCCAAAGAAAAAGGATGGAGAAGTATTGACAATCTTTATTATCACCACACCACTTGAAAATCCATTAGTTCTCAATCAGTGGCGGATGTAGAGTTTGGCCGCCGGGTTCATCTAAACTTCATAGTTTCGACGTAGAATATGAATTTATGTGTAAAAATTCATTAAAATTACAACAAATGGTAAGTCTGAACCCATAACTTTGAAAATACAATGAGCTTAATGCTAAAAACCTTAAAAGTTGAACCCACAGAATTTAAATCCTGGATCCGCCTCTGACTGCCACATGGCACTTCACAAGTTTCAATTTTTTCATAAATAAAAGCATGATATTTAAGTAAAAAAAAGGGTATAGAAATGCCCATTATATATCAAGTTTTAAATAATGCGACCTCTAAAATTCGATTTCTTTGTAAATATATGCAGCAACACAATATGGTAGTATAATAAAAATGACCATGTAGGAGAATAAGATATTTTGAGAGCAAGCTTGTATTATCTCATGAACTCTTAAGGATTTAATATCTTCCCAATTAATGCATGATTTATTTATCAATTTACTTATTTATTTAAAATACATGTTTAATAACTTGTAGAATACAATTTTAATTGCGTACTGAATTCGTGACTCTTACTACGATGAGAGAAAAAAAAAAGTTAGAAATGGTTTCGTTAGATATTGGATTATGCCCTCTATTCTTTGTAATAAAATGCATTGTCAATTCAATGTTTCTAACTTTCTATTTTTTTAACCATAAAAAGAGTGATAAAGTCTAAACTTAGTGATATGTATAAGTTGCTCTTAAAAACACCAACAAGGGTTGTGGTTGAATGATAAGTACTCTTTTATTCTTAAATAGAGGTCTCGGGTTCGAGCCCCTGGGTATGGAGTCGTCCTTGTTAGGGAGCGCTTTACCTCTAATGTGGGACTTCCCGGCGCGAATCCGGATTTAATCCGGCCCCAATGTGGGGTACCGGATACCGGGTGAAAAATCCAAAAAAAAAAAAAAATTGCTCTTAAAAAAAAGTTAATTTTGAATAAACTACTCTGAGTCTGACCTGATGGTTTTATTATCAGTTCCTATTCCTACTAATTCTGGATTTTCCTTTTTAATACTAAATTATGTCATTTTCTTGTTCTCGCTTAATAGTGGGTGCTTTTCTTTAAGTCGTGATTCACGTTCTCAATCAAGCACTTGAATAGAATAGCTTTCATTAATTACAAAAGAAGAATGGGTGTATTTTAAAGGAAAAACAAATTTTATTCTGTAGACAAATTGCAAAACGTTCTAAATATATAAAAATTATTTTTAGAGATATAACGACTAAATGATCAAATGATAAACATTATCATAAGTTCTTAGACAATTACCACAAAAAAATGGAGAGATCTCCAAAAGTTTTAAACAAAAGTACATGTTTTATATCCTAATGAATTTATAGCTAACCTGAAAATTGAAATATACGTTTTTTCCTTTTTAAAAGACACGTATAATCGATAATGAACACTACTTTAGGTGAAAGTGCTATTTAGAAATTAGTTAATATTTATTTTGCCATGAAAATTTGAACTAAAAATTATAATTTCAACACGTGCTCCAAAAAATTAAACTAAAAAATTAAAACTTATGACACATTAGTTAATTCCCTTTTTAAATAGTATTTCGTTAATGTGGCTGGTGTCATTTCTACCCAAAAAAACAAAAAAAAAAAACAAACAAAAAGTAAAAAACAAAAGAAATGTTGACACGTCATTATCCACGTGTCATTCCTTAATAGGTAACCATTACGTTTGTTACAAACTCGCTACAGAAGCGCGTGGTCGCCAATCTCTCTTTCTCTTTTACACAAATCACTGTACCTAAAAGAGTTTCAAAGAGAGACTTTTTCTTTATGTGAGTGAGAAACCCAAAAAATGGTGAAGAAGAATAGTATGGGGTGTGGCTATTACGTCGTCGTTTTGGTGCTCTTGTTCTTTGGAGCTACGATTGTGAGATCAGATTCATCAGATCACAAATACAAAAATGGAGAAGAAGTCCCTTTATATGCAAACAAAGTTGGTCCTTTTCATAACCCTAGGTAATAACCCTTTTATCCCTTTTCATTTTTTTCCTTAAATATTTGATTTTTATGAGTTTTTTGATTTCTGGGTATATTCTAGATTTTGTTTTGGGGAAAAATGTTGCTGCGATTTGCTGAATTTTGGCTCTATTGATGAGTTTGTTTAATGTATATTAGTGGGTCGCCTTTGTTTTTGAGATTTGTGAGCTATTTTTGGTTGTAGTTTATATCTTGTGTGTGTGTGTTGAACATATTGGTAAAAATCAAGATTTTGTTTTGGGAGAAAATGTCGCTGTGATTTGCTGAATTTTGGCTGTATTGCTGAGTTTGCTCAGCTGTTCACCTTAGTTTTTGAGATAATTGAGCTTTCTTTGGTTGTAGTTTACATTTTATATGCGTTGAATATCTGGGTAAAAGTTAAAAGAATCTTTTTTTGAGTAGTATTGGGATGAATTTTTGGGAAATCTGGCAGGGATTTGCTGAATTTTGGCAGTAATGTTGATCTGTTTCAATGTATATTTGTTGGTCTCTTTGGTTTCTGAGAATTGTGAGCTTTTCTTTTTCTTTTTGGTTGTAGTTTACATCTTGGACGTGTAGAATTTCTAAAAAATGTAGTCTTGGAATGAATTTTTGGGAAAAATGTTGCTAGGATTTAGTGAAGTTTAGCTGCATTGCGGAGTTTGCTTAATGTATATTAGTGGGTCACCTAAGTTTCTGGTAATTGGGAGCTTTGTTGGGTAGTAGTTTATATCTTGTAAATGTTGAATATCTGGGTAAAATTCAAGATCTTGTTTTAGGCAGTGTTGTAATGATAAGGGCTTGTTAGGATTTGCTGAATTTTGGCAGTAATGTTAAATTGTTTCAATATACATTTGATGGTCGCCTTGGTTTCTGATAATGGTGAGCTTTTCTTTCTTTTTGGTGTAGTTTACATTTCGTACTTGTTGAATTTCTGAAAAAAAATTAATTTTGGAATGAATTCTGGGGAGAACTTATATGGGATTGCTGAATTTGGTCAGTTATCTTCGATGTATGTTAATGAGTCTACTTGGTATTTGGAATTTTGAATCCTTTTTATCTGAGAATTTAGTTGTACATGTACAATTATGGAGAAAGACATTGTTTGTAGGTCTTGCTTCTACATGCTTGATCTAATTTAATATAGGCAATGTTGTAAGAGCACTACCCAAAAAAGGGTGGAACAAAGGGCTTGTCTTTTATGCTTTTCGAGTTTGGATATGAGAAGTTCAGCCGTGCAGTGGCGGATCCACCCCTTTAGGAAGGGGTGGCATGGCACCTGCTAAGATGTTAAATATTTTATACACTTATGTTTAAATTTTCTTAAACTAGGTTGAATTTCTGATCTTGCCACCCATACCCATAAACTAGACAAAGGTGTCATGACTTGTAGATCTTTTTGAAAGCTTTTCTCGTGTGTAAAATTCAAGTTGGAATTTTATCTTCAACCTTGTCCGACTTTTCCTTTTCTTTGTCCTTTTTGGCTGCCCCCAATTTTCTTTTTGTCGTTTTATAAATTTTTATATTTTTTTCTCTATTCTATTATTTTATATGTGGTCTCTAGCAAGAACACTCAAAAAGAAAAATTGCAAAACTTTAAAATTAGATAAATTAAGCATTCCTCTTAATCTTAAATTTATGAGTTTCCTTTTGAATCCGAAAAACTTGGGTCTTAATGGGAATTTTGGATTGAAATAAATAAAATACATCTTTTTTATTATATCATAATAACTTGTGTTATTCTATGGTTATTAAATATGATTTAAATCTCTTTACTATTAAATTATGATGAAAATTTCGTAAGCATTGCTTAAAAAATATGAGATTTATGATATTGATTTTTGGGAACTTGTAGTTAATTTAATTTTATTCTTATGGGGTATAATTTATTTATTGAAGACATTTTCTAAAATTTTCATATTGATGTAATTCCCTTATTGAAGATGTTATTACTTGTGTAAATTTATTTTTAATATATAGAAAATGATGTAATTTTCTAGTAAAAATATTAATTTTATTTGTGTTGTTATAATAAAGGTGTGATTCCTTATTTAAAATGCTAATTACGTTTTTTTTTATATCCGAGATGTAATTTTTATATTTACAAATAAATAATACCTATTAGGTTGACCTAAATAAACTCAAAAAATCAAATAAATGTTCCTAATAAATTCTGTATTAATCATTACAAAGTATACATCAAAGAAAATTATGGCGCCCGCCACCTTCAATTCCTAAATCCGCCTCTGGCCGTGTGTATGTGTTTTTAAAAAAAGATTGTTTTCTTGTTTTCGACTCTTCATGTTAACAAAGTTAGTGTCTTGGCACATTAAATATCATTTGCAGTTGTAGGAAATATTCTTGATATGATCGGCCGAAATTATAGGTTTTTAATAAAGCCAAACAATTGTAGAACAAGGAAATGAAGCTTCATAAGAGTGAGAAAATCCAGACCTGCCTTCCACAGAGCTAGTTTGACCCTCACTTGGTCTCCTGTCCAGAAAATTATTTTGGTGAAATGTAGCTCCTGACATAAAGTCATGAAAAGGAGTAATTTCATCCATTTTTAACCTGAGATCATGTAGACAGCTCTATGCAAAAAGTGATTGTAGGCACTCTGCTTTAGATGTTGAAAGATATGTTTCACTATGCTACCAACTTGACAAATTGTATGTCCACTTGTTTTTGAAAATTTTGTTCTTTTGAGTCTCACCTAGGTTTGATGATTATCTTGGCAGCTAGCACACTTCTATTTTAATGCACATAGGTATTATAAAGATAACACTACAATTTCCTTTGATGAGCATGTTAGTATCGATAAATTTCCCAGCATTTGTTCGAAGCATACACACTACGTAGGGATAAGGTCTGCGTGCACACTACCCTCCCCAGACCCCACTTGTGGGAATATACTGGGTTTGTTGTTGTTATTGTTGTTCGAAGCATAGTTCTAAAATGGGCATACCTGTACTCACAAAGGTTCTTCTCAGGGCGCGTGTGTGTACAAACTCACGCATTCAAACACTTTCTTTTGATAATTAAAATTATCTTCTTATTAATAATACGACGTCAAGGTGGTGTCAAAAGCATGTACAATGTGGAGATATGGAGTGTACTTGCAACTTTAAAAAACTGCACAAACTACCTAGTACCTACTATAAATGCTAGAAAATTTCTCACTTTCCCTGTGGATATTACCTAGCTCAGGGGTCACCAGCATTGGAGCAGGAACTACCGCCAACTCCACGTCTCCGGATATGGAGACAAAAACATTCAACATGTGCTCAGTGCCTCCCTCAGATGTTCTTGTTTACACACTTCCTTCACCAAACTTAGGCTTCTTTAAGTCAATTTTGCTCTTTATATCAGTTTCACCAGTGACCTAGAATGATCGTCCAGCGACTTCTCTCTGATTTCTCCCGTGAAGAATTTGTTTTCTGCATCTTTGATCCCGAATTGCTTCTAAATTAATTTGCTTGTTAGTTAACCTAATTAAAATCCACTCTCTTAAGCTTATCAATTTTTGTATGTGCAATGCACTTTGGTTTTGTCTCTATCCATTTTGATGTTCTCATTAGCCACTCTGTTTTCTTCTACTGAACAAAAACAGAAAAAATATTTCTGATTGTACTTCTCTAGCACATGCTACATTTACTTTTCTCCGACACTGAGATCTCATGTTTGTCCTGTCAATTGCAGTGAAACATATCGCTACTTTGATCTTCCATTTTGTTCTCCAGGTCAGGTTCATTTCTCTGCCCTCTCTTGCTCTAATGTGTTTGGTCTTTTTTAGCTTTTCTTATTGAATATAAATATAATATATTTTAGTGACGATTGGAACATATGCCTATTCATGTTCATTCATTAGGTCATGTGAAAGATAAAACAGAAGCTCTTGGTGAGGTGTTGAATGGAGATCGTTTAGTCACTGCTCCGTACAAGCTTGACTTTCTAAGTGATCGAGAAACTGAAGTAGTTTGCAAGAAGTCATTATCAAAGGAAGAAGTTGCAAGATTCCGTGACGCTGTTGCCAAGGATTACTACTTCCAGATGTTCTATGATGACCTGCCCATTTGGGGTTTCATTGGTAAGGTAGATAAGGAGGGAAAATCTGACCCCAATGAGTACAAATACTACCTTTTTAAACATCTTCATTTTGACATCCATTTCAACAACGATCGCGTGATTGAAGTTAATGCACGAACTGACCCCAATGCCCTAGTCGACATAACCGAAGATAAGGAGGTTGATGTAGACTTCATGTACTCTGTCAAATGGAAGGAAACGGACATCCCTTTTGAGAAAAGGATGGAAAAGTACTCACAGACTTCAGCTTTACCACATCATTTGGAGATCCACTGGTTCTCTATCATTAATTCTTGTGTCACAGTTCTGCTCTTAACTGGTTTCCTGGCCACAATTCTGATGCGAGTCCTTAAAAATGACTTTGTCAAGTAAGTAATTAAAAATTTTGTGGCGTAGGATATTCATTTTTCGAGGAGCTTGTACTCATCCTTTGGTATGTCCTGTTTTGGTTAAAGATACGCCCATGACGAGGAAGCAGCTGATGACCAAGAAGAAACTGGGTGGAAGTACATTCACGGCGATGTGTTCAGGTACCCGAAGCGGAACTCACTTTTTGCAGCAGCCCTGGGTTCTGGCACACAGTTGTTTACCCTGTAAGTATGCATTCCAATAAAATGGGTTTATTTGGTTCTAGATTTATTTAGCTCGTGTTAAATTTCTGTGACAAATGTTAATTCTCACCGCCTCTTTTTCCCAGGACAATTTTCATATTCATACTTGCGCTTGTTGGTGTGTTTTACCCCTACAACCGAGGAGCTCTTTTCACAGCTTTGGTTGTTATTTATGCTCTTACATCAGGAATTGCAGGCTATACTGCAGCATCATTCTATTGCCAACTTGAAGGAAAAAATTGGGTAAGAAAGTATGGAGCATTATTCTTATTGTTGCAAAGTAGCCNGTCTTGCCTTTCAGCGCCATCTACATTGAGCTCTACTACATATTTGCCAGCGTGTGGGGTCATAGGATTTACACCATTTACAGTATCTTATTCATAGTTTTCATCATTCTAATCATTGTCACTGCATTTATTACGGTGGCTTTGACGTACTTCCAACTTGCTGCAGAAGATCATGAATGGTGGTGGAGGTAAGTTATGTTAATAGTACTTAATTGACCAAATCCTTTTCAAACAGTTGAAGGACGCAAAAATGATCGATTACTAGCCATTTCTGTACTTCCTTTGGTTAATGCGTCATGTCATGGAACTGCAAAATGTAAACTCAATTTTCATTTTTGTTGAAGAAATTTATTCTTTATTTTTAACGTATACGTTTAGGCACAATTTTTTTGGAAATACGTGTGCTTTGTTGGGGCTCTCACTTAAATGTTGATCTTGTAGGTCTTTCCTTTGTGGTGGATCAACTGGTCTGTTCATCTACGGATACTGCCTGTATTACTATTATGCCCGATCAGACATGTCAGGCTTCATGCAAACCTCATTCTTCTTTGGTTACATGGCTTGCATATGCTACGCCTTCTTTCTCATGCTCGGAACTGTTGGTTTCCGGGCGGCTTTATTTTTCGTCCGCCACATATACCGTTCAATCAAGTGCGAGTAAGATGCAGAATTCCACATTGTCTTGGTTCAACTGGTAAGATTTTCATTTTATTAGTTTTGACCTTCTTTATTAGGAAAAAGCCTGTAGATCTGTGTTGCTTAGATCCTGCAAAAATATCAGCGCACCGGTGTCGGATCCTCCAAAAATAGTGCATTCCTCGGAGGATCTGATAAGGTGCAGCCATATATTTTTGGAGAATCCGAGTAACATAACTTGTCGACTACTGATTACATATATTTTTAATTGGCTAAACTACAAACAATTTACGTGGAACATGCAACAGGAGCCTGTGTTTTTGGTGTAAAAATTGTCAACATGCTTGGAGTAGTGCAGCACATTCCCTGATATACAAAGGTTTAGGTCCATTTAGAATTGGTGTGGAGCAAAACAAAGAAGAAGATATGTTGAAGAAGATGCTCAAATCAGTTTTCAGGTGGCAGCTTTATGTTGAACAGTGGTTTTAATTGTGTTTAGGAACTCTATTTGTAACAATGAGTCTATTAGTTAAGCTCAGCTTATTTTTCCTAGTCTTAACCTTTTTGATATATAAAATATGGGTCTGTTAATTGCATTCTTAGCTGTTTATGCTCCAAGTATTCTGTTGTTACACTGTTATCGTAGACTAGCTGTTAACTCTTCTACCAGTTCTTTATTGTGAGCCGAGGGTCTATCGAAAACAGTCTCTCCACCTTCATAAGGTGGAGGTAAGGTCTGCATACACATTACCTTCCCTAGATCCCACTTGTGGGATTTCATCGGGCTTGTTGTTATAGCAGTTCTTTATTGGAAACAAAGACAAACACAGGGTTCAGACAAAAGTTACAGGGTTCGGCTGAACCCATAAGTAAAAGGCTAGTTTTGCGCCTACCGCCAACACCCAAACTTAGAAATCATTCACTCGACTAATCTAAATTTATGCTGCATAGGGCCCGAGAAGATGGAAAACTCTCTCTATCAGGAATTTTTTTTATTTTAGAGATTGAATTCGAGATCTCTAATTAAGGGTGAAGAGATTTCATTTATTTACCACATTCTTTTGTCCTTTAAAAAAAAAAGGAAATAACGTTCTAGTGTATGTGTATCATTGTCAGTGATAACTCATTCTGCTAATTTAGTCGCTGCTAATTTAATTAGAATAACTCATAACTTGGTTTTAATTACAATTAGTGTTTTTTGTATAGAAAAATACTGTAAAAAGCTTAAAAAGGACAACGATGAGTTCCAACAAGACATAATATTAAACCTTTGTTGGTTGAACTCTAATTTAGTTTTTGTAGCTTTCTTCATTAACATATGTTTATATATATATATATATGCATGTGCGCGCCGCTCGCCCGGTGGCATAGCCATATACATTGAAGGATAGTCAACGGATCACACTTCATCGAAATATATATATATATNGTGTTTTTTGGTGAAAACTTTGAAACTTGCTGGCCAGTTATATACAGTATATTTTTCTCGGATGAAAGTTGGAAAAAACGGGTGCTTTGTTATCGATTTAATTTGTTCTTTGGGTTTTATTCTGACTGGATTTTTGGTGCTCTATTAACATAGAATATTGCAATGGACGAGAGAATTATACCGGGCAAAGCTGAAGGAACAGAAGCAGAAGCGAATTGATTCCCCTCTTGTAAGGTATTATTATATAAAAGGGAGTCGCCAAAGTATATTTTTTTGTTATTTTCATTTCATGATTTTACGTTATAGCTAGTAAATGACTAAAGTCCTGTTGAGTTTGTCTTAATTGGTTGTGGGGTGGGTATTTGGTCTCCTTATATTGTGTTTGTTCATGACATAGTTTTGGACAACTTGGCTTAAAGATATGGTGACACAGACTCAGCAAAGAAGGATAATTAGACAGGCATATCAACACAAATACCACAATTCTTAGGTCCATTTCATGATGTCTGTTACATTTTATTAGTCCTAATCAAGCTTGGCTGTGTTTGTTCTTATACTACAGAGCAAAATGGTAGAACTGAAAAATTAGACAACCAGCGATATCCACAATGCTGTAGGTCCAATATTCAACAGCAGCACATTATTCTACCTAGCACACCTAACTAAGGTTGATAACCACAGCTATAATTGAAATTTATTCTCTAGCCTCAACTATAAATAAACTGCTCCCATGAGCCACATTTTGATCAAGCAGATAGCACAATCAAACCTTCAAAAATATCCTCAAGCTTTTTCATTCCTATATCCAAAGAAATCAATATGATCAGTGTTAAGAAACTGATCAAGCTGGCAAGGAAATGGCAAAATTTTGCAGCCAAACAGAGGAAGAGAATTTCTTTTCCAAGATCCAATTACCATGATGCAGAAAGTTGTAGCACACCAACTTCCATAGTTGGTAAAGGGTATTTTGTGGTCTATACAACTGATCACAAGCGATTTGTAGTTCCGTTGGCTTATCTACAACATAATCAGACAATTGTTGCACTGTTAACCAGTGATTGAACCATGACACTGTCTTCAATGCATTCTGTGATATTGAAAGGAAAAAAAATTCAAATAAAGGAAGAACGTATTTACAATGAGACGGAGAGAAAAGATTGTAGAGAAATCTATAATTCTGCTGCTTTTTGGTTCAGACGCTAAGCAGGCGAAAGGAGCTCTCCCTCCTTGCGGGCTTCTTTGATAACATCCTCAAGGTTGTGGCTGTATCAGTTGCAATAAAATGAAAATACAATTCATAGAAAACATTTATGTTAAAATAACAGAATATTACCTGCACCCTGAACATTGACAACTGTCAGTATCGCATGTACAAGCAGGGTAACACCTTCTTGCTACTCTGTTTCCTCTTCTTTTTGTTTTTTTACAGGGCTCAGCGTCATCCCCTGGGGTTGGGCGGCCAATTCTCAACTCACTTCCCTTGTTCCACCTCCTGGGCGCAAGGGGCATGCAGAGATCTTGAAACCTTATATGGTGAAGACGGTTCTGACAGTCATGGTGAACCGGAGGAACATGACAATTTCCCCCTTGCCAGTTTGCACGTGAATGATGAGCAGGTGCCTGCTAGACAACATGAGCGGGAGGGACAGGGAGAACAGGGACAACATGAGTAGGAGGGGGAGGGAGAGGGAGGACAGGGATAACATGAGCATTCCTTCGGTTCAACATGACTGTCAGAACCGTCTTCACCATATAAGGTTTCAAGATCTCTGCATGCCCCTTGTGTCTAGGAGGTGGAAAAGGGGAAGTGAGTTGAGAATTGGCCGCCCAACCCAAGGCAAAGGTATGGGGATGACGCTGAGCCCCGTAAAAAAACAAAAGAAGAGGAAACAGAGTAGCAAGAAGGTGTTGCCCTGCTTGTACATGAGATAATGACAGTTGTCAATGTTCAAGGGTGCAAGTAATATTCTATTATTTTAACATAAGTGTTTTCTATGAATTTTATTTTGTTGTATTTTCATTTTATTGCAACTGATACAACAACAGCCACAACAAAAGCCACAAGAGGAGCCACAACCTTTAGGATGTTATCAAAGAAACCTGCAAGGAGGGTGAGCTCCTTTCGCCATATAAGGTTTCAAGATCTCTGCATTCCAATTGAGATGAAGACGTGATATCGACACCTGTTGCACTAGGAATAGGCGGAGATCGACACCTGCTGCACTAGGAATAGGCGGAGCTGCAGTAGAAGCAGGCGGTCTCGTACTCTTCTGACAAGTTTAGTTCTTCTTCGGTTTTTTCAACTCAATCAACTCTTCATCAGTGCGTTCAACTTTCTCGTCAACTCTTCATTATGTCTGTTGATAACAACAAACAAATAAATCATTGTTGATAACAACAAACAAATAAATCATTGTTGATAACAATAAACAAAGAAAATAGTAACCTTCACAAAATCAAGAACCCAATAGGTTTGTTTATTGTTCTCTAGCAATTGATCTTTAATATTTTCCACCATAATAAACCCTCCCGTAAAACATTAACAGAGGTCAGTAGACATTATTGGTCATCAAAAACAGAAAATAAATATTATAAGAGGTAAAGTTCATGAATTTTCAATTTTCATGAAACTAGAAAAACAAGCCAGCAAATCAATCAAGAGGAAAGAAGAATCAAAAAGAATTCATACATACACAAAACTGACAACAAAGCTTAATAATCTATAGATGGAGAAGCATGCTTTAGGTGCTTGAACCACTGGTGATCTTTCTACACTTTTTTTCCTTATATATGGTAAATACCTCGGGGCCAAACAATGGCTTCTAATTTACTAGATAGTACAACTTACCTGGAAAGATCTGTAATGCGTTGCAATGGACCAAAAACTGGAAATTTTTTGAAGTCAGTCTGAACCGTTGACTTAAAGTCCATAAACTCTATCCATTGTGATTTGTCAATTTTCTCAAGTTCAGCCCAAGGACCCTCCACTGATCTGTCACATATACTGCCAAGTTTAAAGAGCAATTCATCCGTTGGGAAGATATTCAGCATCTCGCAATCAGGTAGGCAGTCCCGATTAAGAAGTACGCACACTCGGCATTTCTTCCTCAAGGGATCCATTGGCAAAACCCTAGATTGCAAAACAATCGAAACTAATGAAAATTAGGCAGAGTATTAGAACACGGGAGTCGTACCCATAGCCAAAATAATTTATTAATCACGCCAAAAGCAAGCTACGATGTTCATGAATTGTTTTCCTAAGCTAATTTTGGGACTGTTCTAAAGGTCATGGTTTATGGAGTAGGGAGCTTGATTTGGGGGCATAAATCAACAGTCAGAGGTTTTTTTGGTTAGCAAACAGAGTGAGCAAACTGTTATTCCATCATAAATAAAGGAACAGAAAAGAAAAAATTATTAGGTGATGAACAAGTAACAAGTGATCGCACCTTCTAATTAAGTTCTAGCAGAAAATGTCGACTTCACTCTTGATGCTTCTCATTAAGTTCTTTGAAGTCTTTGATCAAATCTCTTTAAGAATGATTAATGTAGAAGATTTTCTTTCAAGATGAGCTTAACAGTAGCAAGCAGTCTGTGATTCTACCTCAAAATTCTGATCTCTTGCCTTTTGTTAATTCAGTAGTAATAAGGCATACTGAATAGATATCAGAACATTAAGACATGCAACTCTTCAAGAGCATAGGGCAAATACAGAAGCTCGCACTCAAATTGAGGAAGATAACATTATGAAATACACCATCATATAATAACCATCTAGTCATTAACTTTTAGCTTGCAACAAAACTAGAAAAATAAAAGAATAATTAGCAACACAACCCAGGAAAACTTAGGTCCTTTAGTCATAAAGAACAGAAAAGAGACCTCATTTGCTAAAGAAAATATACAATTGATAAGAAGAAGAAGAAGAAAAAGGAAGAAAAAAAAGAGTAACACAGTGTTGCTTTGTTCTGTTGCAGCAGCAGCGATTAAAAACAGAGCCCAAAACAAAAAGAAAGAAGAAAGAAGGAAAAAAGAAATTTGACAGAGCCACAGAACAGAAACTCGAAGAAAGAAGAAAGGAGAAGAAGAAAGAAGAAAAGAGATGAGGAGAAACATACCTTTGAAGAAAGAAGAAAGGAAATCGCTGGTCTGTTGTAAGTTTGCTGTCGACTTGAAGGAGAACGAGTAAAGAAATCGCGAGCCCTAATTTTTTGTTTTAGAAGATCGCTGCTACTGCCTTCTTTTCTTTTTTGCAAAAAGCGACGCTACAGCTCGCCTCACACTACAGGTCGCCACACGCTACAAAGGCAGAGGCGCTCGCCTTTTTGAAAACGCTATGCCATACTATAAAATAGCGATGGCAACTAGCATTGCCTCGCCTCACACTATTAGTGCTGAGGCGAGCGCTATTTACAACACTGCGCAGACCTTACCCTATCCTAGGGTAGAGAGGCTATTTTCAATACACCCTCGGCATCCTTCCCTCCAAGAACTTCCCACCTTGCTGTTGGGGTGACTCGAACTCACAACCTCTTGGTTGGAACTGGAGGTTGCTTATCATCACAGCAACCCCTCCTGTCAAGTTAAAATCCATATCTGCAATCTAAGCTAAGTTAAAATCTATATCTGCACTTCATTTAACATAAATCAAAAAAAATCAGCTTAGTGATTTTGTTAATTTGATTAATAACAAAAATTGATTAACATATCTATCAAAATAGTAACATTAACACCTCATTGTTAAATCAAGGTGCCGCGAAAAATAAAGAGAAAAAATGAATTTGGGAATTATGAAATGCACACCTGAATTTAGGAATTATGTATCGCGGCTATGCCACGGAAACCGTACCCATAACCGTGATGATTTAATTATTCGTGCCTAAAGCAAACTACGAATGTTTATAAGTTCATATTTCCTAAAGTTTAAGATTAAGGCCAAGAGTTTACGAGAATTAGTTGTGGAAGTAAATAAATAAATTAGCTATGGAAATGTGGGTTATCCTAACTTAACACAATTTAAGAGTGAGATTTGCAATCATTGGAGGCAGCATGTAATCAATCAATTACAATGGGTCAAGAATATAATGAAAAAAGCTACAATCCAATCTATTACGTTTAGTTGCGTCAATACGAATCTAACTAAGCAAGTCACTGTTTTACAAATCTAGCTTCCAAAATTACATGCCAGAACTCACGCATTTAACCTCATACAATCAGAACTTGTGGGGGTATTCTTATCGGAAAAAAAGCAGTGACTTAAACCAATTTGAAGACACATGAAGACATGCTTAAATAAATTCAAGATCACAACCAATTTGTTATACTAGAAATGTAATCTGAATTTTAAAGCAATAATCATTTTTTCCATGAAATTACTGGCAATGAATGCTTTCTTATATGGACACAATCTATTCACGGTAAACTTTAAACTACAATAGGAGGTAATTAAATTTCAGCTTATCACCAGTGACCGGAATCACACTCTTTGGCTTCTAACTTTACCGATCTGACGCACTGGTGGTCAGATCTGCAAATTACAGCCTCATTTGAATCTAGTTTCATGCTCAAAGGAAATGTAACATACAAATCAGCCACGCACAATCATTAACTCGACAAAAAAAGGAACACATGATCTTAATCTGTCCACAAAATCATTGCTTGAAGGCACAATTTATCTGAACCAAATTACATGACTAAGATCAAGGAGATACCTCGATGCAGAAACAGAATGAGAAAGAAAACATCAACAAGGATCGGATTTGAAGCTCAACAAAATGCGGGAAAAGCAACAGCAGAGAAAAATCAGCAAATACCTTTCTACCGAACCCGAAATCGACACCAAACCAGCAGAAAGTGAAGTCAATCCCGAAATTCTTGTCTATCCCATTTTTCCTTTGATTTACTATTTTGAGTGAGTTTTTGGAGGTTTTTTCGAGCTAGAGTTTGGAGTTGTTTTGGGTGATGTTTCGTGGTGGTTTGGGAAGGAGTTGGAGTTGCTTTTGGTGATGAGGGTCTGTTCTCGTGTGTTTCTAGGTTAGAAGTGAGGAAGAAGAAGAGAGGGGGTGCCATTAGGTGTTCTTCAGAAAGGAGGGGTCGTTCGTTTGGAGAAGATGAAAGGGGCCACTAGGTTAGGTATTATTTTTTTTTGGAGGGGAGGGAACGGCGCTGGGGTGAGAGGGGAAGAAGGGTTCTACGGTTTTTTTTATTTTGGGGAGGGTTCCATTTGATTTTGTCTCCCTAAGGCTGTTTATCGGGCGGATTAGGCGGTTATTTATTCTTAACTATTTGACTTATCGGTTATCGGCTTTTAAATATATTAATTCGCTAGCCACTTGATAAGATATTGGGCGGATTGGTATCGATTGAGCTCTTATCAGACGGTTATCGGACGGTTTATCGGCCTAATTCAATCTTGCGTGCATTAATTGTTTGTTGACAGCCTAACATACAAATTGAGAATAGGAAATTACACATTGAGTATATATGTCTGTTAACGCCATGTAGTGTGTCATGTGTTGTAGAGCGAAAAAAGCAGAACACATTGCATAGAGAGTGGCAACCATTTTTTGATACGCTGGACAAGAAAGTTCCGTTAACTTTTTGTTAATTTTTCATCAGGCTAGCCATTTATTTGCATGAGTTCATCTTTGTCTATCATTCTTTATGTGAATATTATCAGCCAAAAAGAGATCTGACAACACGAATGAAGGGTTAGAGTTATGGAAGTGGAAGGGTTTTTGATATTTAATGTATATATGAATCAAAATAAATTTATATATATATATTCTTAACGGGTTAACGGATTGTCCGTTAAAAAAATTGAATAATCCGCCCCCAAATCGATAAGCCGTTAATAAAAAAATTTCAATCCGTTCCCCGTCCGTTAACCCGATACCAATAAGCCATTAAACTTCGATTTCGATTTGATTTTCGGTTTCGGTTTGGTTTTGGACACCCCTAGCCAGGCCAGGCGGGTTGGGCTTCTAGAAGGGATGGGCTGGTTTTGGGCTTGGCGGGTCATGGTAAGGAGTAAGTGGATTGGGGCTGATCTTTGTAGAAGCTTGTGGATTTTTGGGCCTCAAAATTAAACTGGCCCAATTGAAGGATTAAACAAGAGAAAACTACCCTCTATATCCTTTCAAAATTTTATTAGCCCATGTTTTCCCACATGGACCCGAAATAGCCCTTAGGCCCAATGTATTGACAAGTTATAGCCACTATTTTCAATACACTTTCACTCTCTTTCAACCGCCTACTTTTCCTCTCTCTCTCCTCATCTTCTTCGATCTTCAATCTTTCAACTTTTCCTTTCTTCTTATCTTTCCCTTCTTCACTCCCTCCTTTTTTTTTTTTTTTCTTCTCCTACAGTGACATCAACACACGTTTTTTTTAATTTTCTCTTTTTTCTTTGCGATCTCCTCCTCTTTTACTTAGATACAGAAATATCTATCTTCTTTGAGTAATTTCTGGCAAAAGTCTGGCGGAGGTTGTCACTTTCTTTGCCTTCTGTCCACTTTCAGATCTAGTATTATGTAATATTTTTTCGGATGACTTTTGCAAGAAGATGAAAAATGGAGAAAATAAAATAGACGCTGCCATAGAAAAGCTTTTCCTGGCCAAGTTTGGTGTCCTCCATTATCGTTAACGCTCCTTTATTTATACGTTGTGTAATTAGTGTATAATAATTGTATAATATAGTGTATAATCGTTGTGTATACATTATACACTAATGATACTTTTATTATACACGTATTATACAAAACTGGATGTGAAAGATTACGGTGATTATGGTGAGTGTTGAAAATATTGTATATAATATGTATATATAATGTATCAACATGTATATGAAAGGTGTATCTACACTGATATAATGCATATACACTTTTTATACAAATTCAATGTTCATATAATTGTGTACATATTTTGTATATAAAGTATATAATAGTTTATATATATTGTTCGACGATGTATAAAAAGTGTATATACACTTTATACTAGTGTATAATGTGTATAGTATGTGTAAAACCTATACATCACCTTCTTCCTCTTCTTATATCATGGGAATATTTTCCTTATGCAATGTCATATTTTTCTAGATTGGATCACTAAAAATTTATTTTTTTTGTAAAAGATAAAAAGGGGATTTTGGAGGTTATGGAGAAGACGGATGGGTTTAATGAAATTTTTCGGCTGAAAGTGTGGATTTGACGTGGATTTCACTAGGTTTGAAGGATTTTTGGGGTGATTTGGCAGGATCTTAAATATTTTGACTACTAATATTAAGTGTAAAAGAAGGTTGCATTGAGGAGCCAGAGTATCTGCTGGTTTCCTGGGTTTCACTTGCTAGCCCTTATAATTGGTTTGGGGTTATGAATTGTATGCCTTATTTTATGGCTATCGGTTGTCATTAATTTTCACCGAAGAGCTATAAATGATTTTTGCTCATTAAACAACCTATTTTGACTTAAAATTCTACATTAAATACTATCTTAAATCTAAATTGCAAAATTAATTTTATTTATCTATTAACAAATGCATATAAAAGTTTAAAATATTTTGTTTGATTTTTATACATTAATTCTAACAATTAAAGAGTAATTAATTTCTAAAGTGCAAATTAAGCCTAATATGGCATGAAATAAAAAAATGTGATAATTTTTATGGTTTTTCTTATGATTTTAAAATATTAAACATGCATGAAATGCAACTAAATAAAAAAAATTCTTAAAATCCTTTAAAATTATTTTTGGTCTATTTTTTGAAGTTATTTCCATGCGGGGCAAAAATTAGGTGCTCACAGCTGCTCATCTTTGTTCGGAAACATGAAGAGTTTCCGGGCAAAGATAAAGTGAGCAAATACAAGCAATTTTTGCCCGTTTGAAACTCCATATGAAGCATTTTTTGGTGGTTGGAACTACCGAGAAGTTGTGATTTCACTATTGTTGATGTTGTTACTGCTTGCTGAGCTCCTTATTACACCAAGATCAAAATGAAAAACTAAACTAACTAAACCTATCAGCTACGAGTTACAAAATTCCTATCTCTAAACCTTCCGAAGCTTGATCTTGGGTCTCGGCTGGATCTTCGCATACTCTGATCTGAATCTAGATGCTTGTTAACTGCAAGCATTGTTTCATCCTTCTCCAGCTTTTGGATCAAGGTCGGATATGCAAAGCTCGTGACTTCAATCATATCTCGAGCAGTCCACATCTTTTCTCCGCTTCTACATTTTGAATTCACTTCTTTTCTTTTATTCAAGATTGAGACTTTTTCTTTTGGTCGTCTCGAATCCTGTGTCTCGAGGTATAACCTGCTCAGACACCAAAATAAACGAAACGAACGAAATTTTATGCCTAGTTTTCACTAAAAAAAATTCATGAGTTATTGTAACAAAATGTTAAACTACTTCACTACTGAAACAATAAATTCAGGATTGTGTATCCTTGGGAAAAAGATATTAGGGAATGGAGACCCTATATCTAAAACAAAATCAACTAGGAGCTGGAGACATGCATGAACAATGCAAATAAAATTCCTGAAATTATATAAGAGCGATTAAATTTTTAATTTTTTTACTATGTAGGCAAAAATTAGGTGCTCACAAGACCAGACATGTAGTGCTCGTGACTTCAACCATGTCTTGAGCAGTTGACATCTTTCATTTGCTTTTGCATTTTGGATTCACTTCTTCTTCTTCTTTTTATTCTGGATCGAGACTTCTTCTTTTGGTCATCTCGGACTGTCGACTCGTATTTTTAAGGCGAACTTCTGCTACTTCTAGCTCGACTTGAATTCGAAGATGACTTCTCTCGTTTCCTATGTGGGTGCATGCTACTGACTTGAAATTTAAAGTAACCCTTAAATGAATTTCCATGTTCTTCAGGTGAGTCTTGAATTTGAAAATTGAAAGTTGACCCCGTTGGTTCCTGATGCCTCTCTGACTTGAAATTGTAAACTAAACATTGACCCTGTTCTTCAGGTAGGCTCATGAAGCTTCTTAAACTTGAAAATTGAAAGTTGACCCCGTTCTTTAGGCGGGCTCCTGATGCTTCTCTGACTTGAACTTGTAAACTGAAAGTTGACCCTGTTCTTCAGGCGAGATTCTAGATGCTTCTCTAACTTAAACTTGAAAACTGAACGCTGACCCTGTTCTTCATGTGGGCTCCTGATACCTCTTGAACTTGTAAATCAAAAGTTGACCCTGTTCTTCAGGCGGGATTCTCTTGATGCTTCTCTAACATGAACTTGAAAATCGAACGCTGACCCTGTTCTTCAGGCGGGCTCCTGATGCCTTGCTGACTTGAACTGTAAACTGAAAGTTGACCTTGTTCTTCAGGCGGGCTCCTGATGCCTCTTGAACTCGAAAACTGAAATTTGACCATGTTCTTCAGGCGAGTTCCTGATGCCTCTTGAACTTGAAAATTGAAAGTTGACCCTGTTCTTTAGGAAGGATTCTCTTGATGCTTCTCTAACTTGAACTTGAAAACTGAACGCTGACCTTGTTCTTTAGGCGGGCTCCTGATGCCTCTTGAACTTGAAAATTAAAAGTTGACCCTATTCTTCTGGCGGACTCCTGATGCCTCTTGAACTTGTAAACCGAAAGTTGACCTCCTGATACTTCTCTAACTTGAAAATTAAAAGCTGACCTTGTTCTTTAGGCGGGCTCTTGATGCCTCTTTGACTTGAACTTAAAACCGATTTCTGAAATATTGATCCTCGTTCTCCATGTGGGTGCCTGCAATCAAAACAACACAACAAAAAAATCTGCCCCAATTTGCACTAAGAAGATTTTTGAGTTGTTAGCAAAACTATAAATCAACTATGCTATTGATGCGATGATAAGAGTAAAACTAAAGACTCGACTAGGATGTGTGTCTCCTGTGAGTAAAACCAAGAAAATTGACTAGAAAATGCGTCTTCTAAAAATGAAACTTGAATGACTCAGATTAGGAAGTGCGTCTCCTACGGGTGAAACTTGAATGGACCAAACTAGGAAGTGCATCCCCTAGGGGTGAATCTCAATGACTCAAACTAGGAAGTGTGTCTCCTAAGGATGAACTTAAATGACCCAAACTAGGAAGCGCGTCTCCTAGGGGTGAAGTCTCAATTTAAGAAGTGCATCTCCTAAAAGTATATCCTGAAAGACTCAGACTAGGAAGTGCGTCTCCTAGGTGTGAGACTGAGCTTGAGGAAAACCATACACT